AGATGTGTTTTAAAGTGATCAACTAAGCTAGAGTTTGTGCTCTATTGGTTTAAGAGTAGCCATTGTTTTTACCAAATTAAACAAAAAATATTTAGCATAAACAGCATTTGAATAAAAATGTTAATATATAAGTTGATAAATGGATCATCATCAGAATGACCCAGGAATATAAATTTCTTTCTTAGCAAAAACCCCTGAAGCTGTGGTCTCATACAATGGTAATCTCTGCGGTAACCATAAAGGACCAAGGCAGATGGGCTGAAGTAAAACTTTTGCACAAATGGCTCAGAAAAATCATGGGAGGCTTTAGTCTTGGGAGGTACAGAATGACTAAGACCAGAACTCAGACAGGAAAGGGAAATTTAACACAGACTGCGAGGGAAGTCATCCAGGATGACTTCAGAAAACCCTTGGTGAATTATGGAACGCATTTGTCAATGAACAGTATCTTCGAGAGGGGTATTTAATACAGCTTTTTAAAACATACCTAAATACTGTATGCCACATAAAAAAAATAAAAATAAAATACATTAACTACAGTTTATATATGTTGCAATTAGGTCAAATGCTTATCCACAGATTATAGAGGCAATGGCAAGTATTACATATATTCAGTTTACTGTATGTGTGACACTTTCATTAACTATTATTAACCAGATGTTCTGAAATAATTTAAGATATAGTCTAAGATGCAGACATCAGAAAGAAAAATATATATGCAAATTGTACTTCAGACTAATTTTAGAATAATCTAATCAATGTGACCCATAATCGCCTCTCTTAGCAATGATCTACTCCAAGTACTACCCTGTTTTTTTAAGCTCTTTTCTTTTTCACACAGACCACCGTTTGAATCTCACACATGCATCCTCCACACATTCATTTGCTCAGCAGCTACCAAACTGACACACAAGGCAGCCGATCACTGGGTCAGTGGAAGATGGTTGCCATGGCAGCCCATCCAGAGCTGTGTTGGTGCACGATTGTGATCAGTAGTGATCCTGCTGCTGAACCAGGCTTCCTCCTCTGCTCTGCACTGCTGCCTCTGTGCTGCTGTATAGACAAATACATGTCTGCATATTCCCCATGAGCCCACTGTGTAAAACTATACTATTTAAATTAATAGTGTATTATGCAACACTATAAAAACATGATGTTTTACAAAAGGGAATTAAAAACGTGGAAAGTGAACTGTTTGAACAATGGTGAAAAACAAATCAATAATAGTTTTTATTATTATTAAACAAGAGAAAGCAGCTTTAGGTTTTAAAAAAGAAAAGTAAACCTAATGTGTGCATATGCAGTAATTATCTCTAAGTTTTATTATCTTCTCTGTGCTATGGCACAAACATTCAGACAGACAGCAGTATTTTCCATGTTAAATGAAACGTGTTGGTTCTGTTAACCAACAGTTGAGTTTTTTACGTTACGTTTTTTTTCATGATGTAATTCAAATAACCTTTTTTCTGCTCCCCGGAGATCAAACAATTTTTATCATAATTGTGCATGTCCATAGAAGAGGTCTTAAAAACATCCTGCCTTGAGCAGATTGGTTGAAAACCAAAATGAAAAAAATAAATAAAATGTAGGCCTAATTTTTCTTTTTTTGTTTTAAGCTCCAGTCCTTTAGATTTTTAAGTATTATGATTCACAAAGATGTTGATGGAAGAAAAGCAAATGCTACTGTAATTAATTTTTACAAATAGTAGTAGTAGTAAACTACTAGTTTCTCTTTCCTATTAGTCCAAGTGCTTTGGAATAAACCAGTAAATCTTTAACATTTAAGGTTTTAAAGTTTTATTTTTTTACTCATGTGTTCTATAGTGTAAGTTTCCAAGATGCTTATAATTAAAATCCAGTTAAGAGCACATTTTCTAGTTTAAATATCAGGCTTTTTAACAAAAGAACTCCCAAGAACCAGTAAGTTTTAAATTCTAATCAGAATGACACAGAGATTACTTAAAGGGATAGTGGAGGTTTTTGGAGGTGAAGTTGTATGAAACGTTGACTGTCTGTAGCTGAGATGTAACAGTCACTGAGCCTTCTGCTATGAGAAACGACTGGTAACACACCAGAGAAAATGTAGATCCTGAATGCTACTGGGGCGCAAATAAAGGTTTTTAAGCTAGAAAAACAATGCAATGAATAAGTTAAACAGCGCATCAACAGTCCGTGGAAGGATCTACTACAGAAAAAGGGAAGGTGAGACGACATTCTGGAGTTTAGATAGGAGCCGCTGAAAATCAGTGCTCACCTTGGTTGTCATGATCTTGGAACTGATGGCCGGTGTAATTGCTCATTCCATTCACCTGTCTAACTCAGCCGGTTGCTCGTTTCTGCTTATCTTATCCACCTGCTTCTGCCTCTATTTAAGGGACTTGCATCCAGCTATCAGGGCCAGATTATCCTGTTCTCGCGGGCCAGTGAAGAGAGGGGTTTTTAGCGTACCATAGTTTTCTGATTTCCTGATCCTGACCTGATCCTCCTCTCATCCACTATGCATGCCTGTTCCTGTCTAATCTCAGTTGAGAGAGTTTTTTTTTTATTCCACCTGAATAAATCAATACATATTACACTAAGAGTAACATGCTTTAATTCAGACACCCAAACATAAACACGTCCATATTTTTTATTAGTACATATCACAATGTAGAATAAAGAAACATTGTCAAATTAAAAGTTCTGTTGTAAGAATATCATTATAATATCAATACTAATAATAATGTTAAATTAATACTATCTGTGGCATTTGATTTCAGATTACTGAACTGTGTGAAGAATGGAAAAAGCTGGGCCTTCACTGAATAGGAACAGAAATTGCACCTCCTCTTTACAGTCAATTTTCAGCTGGTTTCCATGGTAACCATGCAGGAGCCTGGTCTATTTTCAAAAGCAGAGAGCTATTGGTTCTCAATGAGCTGAACTGTAAGCATGTGTAAAGGGGGAGGTAGTAAGAATGCAAATGGATCACACATTTTGATGAAGGAAACTGGAAGCATGAGCTTCTGCACTCTCCTAAGAAGCTGGATTAGATATTTCTCTGCTTAGACGGTTGTTAGGATATATATTTGAGGAGGAATTAATAGTTGTTACAGAGCACCACCACATCAGTGATTCTGGTGCGGAAAGAAATACTCCTCCCTTTGATCATATGTTAAGGATAAGGAGAAAAGCATTAGAACTTAGGCTTTAAACAGCTTCCAAGTTTAAGCATCTAAATCAAACCAGATTAAGAAAAAAAAAAAAAAAACTCTCTTGCCTGTACCATATTTGGAAGAATTTGCCTTGAAGTCAACTGTGTGTTCCTTTGTGCATGCGTGTGTTCTGGTGAGTTGAGTGCTGAGGTATTAGACATTTGTGGCCTGGCAAAGATCGTTTTGAGCTATCCTTGAAGAGATATTTTTATGAATATTTAATGAATATGGTGTGTCAAAAGAAAAGGCTAAAAGTCCACATTCACACTCTCACAGCAACCGTACTGATGTACATTATACTGCAATAAAAAATCTAAATAGACTGTGTGAAAATGAATTTAACTATAACAGAAGATGCAATAAATTTATTTATCTAAATATTCATTACTTCCAATCTCAGGTGATTTTACGTTTGACCATCTTCTTTTGCCTATTCTGGCAAACCAAAGTTTAACTTGCTCCAGTTTAATTGTTCTATTTCTTGCTCTAATTCCAAATATTTTTAAATGTGTGTCATCTCTTTTCTGCCTCTTACCATGCTCAGTAAGAATGTGACCTGGCATGCAGGGCCTTGAGAGTGCTCCAGAGGCTGAGCTTAAATCCCTCTGCATGTACCACAAAGATAAAGCTGCTACTCCACTCTTGAGAACTGTCCTTGATTCTTTTTATGTCACTCCCTGAGTCTCACCATTTTCTGTCAAGTTGTGGACGAAAAATTAGACAGAGGCAGACTGAGGACTAGAAATTAGTAGTGCAGTGGTGATAATTGGGAGTGGAGAGAAGAAAACAAAAGAAATGAAAAATACAAATAAAATACTGCATTTGAAAAAAAAACAGCTCTCCACCAGTGAGGTGATTTCTATTAATGCACTTGGCACTTGCTGATTACAGCCCTTACAACAAGTGAAACACCATATGAATTGTAATTTATTACTTGTTTTCCTTATTGATTTGTGTGATGGTCATCAAATAGTCACTTTGAGAAAACTTTAAAGAGTAAGAGGAAATGTGAGAGTGCAAATAAATGACATTAAATAAGTCAGCCAAGAAACATAGCAACATATGGCCATGGGCCAGGTACCTGTATCAAGCTACACCAGAGATTTAAGAGTTTGGTTTTAAAGCTCTGTGCTTACAGAAATTGTAATTGGCCACGAATCACAAATAATGTCATAGTTCTGGTTCTGTTATGTTTTCTTTTGAGTTTTCAGTTTTACTTTGCCCCATGTTTTCTAGTTTTAGTGGTTTATTTATTATTTTTGTTCTCTTCTCTGGTTATTTTTCAGTTTTCAGGTTTTTATTTGTTGCCCTCTGCTGCCCTCTTGTGTTCTCCTCTTTCTCTAGCTATTTTCCTGTCTGCTCTGTCCACACCTGCTCCCAATCTGCTCGTTAGTCCTCTCTTTGTTTTAGTCTCCTATAAATACACTCCTTATGCAGTTCCTCAGTGCTGGTTCCTCGCCTAACTTTGCTCAAACACCGTCTTGCTGAGTCTTCCTCCTCGTGATTGGAGGAAGGATTTCAAATTTGAATTGAAAAAGCTTCCTGGAGAGGTGGCAAAATGTGTTTAAATCTTGGAAATCAAGTCCTGTGGATTTTTTGAACTCTTATGGAATGACTATGACCTGGATGACGGAGAATCTTCATCAGCATACGACCAGTGTAACTCTAATTTCATTAGAACAAGGTGTAAAATATACCAGTTCATGTTATGTAAACCTATAAAGCTGTATTTTACCCACTTATAGCTTGATCTGATTTCATTGGCCTTTGTTTTTATGGCAAGAGTTAAAACAATTATTTTCTTACCCATTAGCCAAGTTGTCATCATCGTCATCATCCGGCAGACTCTTTCCTTGAAGGTCATTATCACTCAGGTAACCAGACTTGAGGTCAGGATCATCATCAAGTCCCTCGATAAGCTCAATGCGAGACGAGCTACTGAGACGACTGGAGCAGCGAGCAGGCATGGTGTGAGCTGTGTACTGGGGGGAGCTTTTGCTACCCTGGTACCCTCCACCTGTGGAAGATGGGGCATCGCCAGCCTGAAGGCGAGGACTGGATTGACCATGGCGCCAAGACAGAGGTGAGGAACGGTTGGACATGCTGGAAATGCTGCGGGCATTGGTCTCATCACTGTCGTAGCCCACATTACTGCTATCCACACAACTGGAGAGATAAAGAGGGAAAGTGTCAGAGGAAGAGTTCATAGCTGTTTTTCAATTAAAACGCTGTCTAAGTGCAAAAGGAAATGTCTTGATGAGATAAGGAGACATTTTACTATCCCTCGAAAACTTTCTCAGAGAAACATCCTTCAAGCTGCTTTTATCGGAGCAATGTGGAAAACTGCCACTAGGCGGGGCTGTTAAGCAATGTCTGTAGACCAAAACAAGAAGTCTAACAACAATGCCTCTGTCTTCTTCCAGTCCGGCTGCAACCCAACCCTGTTGCCCCCTTTTTATGTATATATTTGCAAAGGATACATACACAGCAAAATAGCATCACCCTTTTAAGGAATATGTCCAATATAGAAGTAGGCAGCTAATAACTTTATAATGTTGTTAGCAAGCTATTTCTACTGGCTGGAAGCGCTCTCTGCCATTGTGCAGAGAATGAATCCAGAGTGCCTATAAAACGGTCTACTCTCTCAGTCTCATTTTATTACGGACTACATGCTCACACCACCAGCCCGGCTTGTAAATAAGACACAGTGTTAGATGAGGTACGATGTTTGATGTCACACTTTATCTTATCAAAAAAAGACTCCAATAATTCTTCACATCAATTTGTTTTTAGTTCTGTCTAAAATGATGAATAATTTCGTATTGCTCCTTAAAAATCTTGAAATGTCAGACTATCTTCAAAGAAAAATTACCCAACAGCTTTAACCATAACCATGTGTGTTGAAGGTTAAGCCTATGGTGAATACACAATATTATTCAGGGCGGTATATGCCTGTAGCTGCAGCTTAGATGTAAAGAGACAGAGACTGGACCCAAATAAACCCAGACAGGTTAGTGACGTTTAACTTTGAAGATTTATTGAGAGGGTTAATCAGAAAGCGGGGCTGGATCTGTGTGGGCAACTGGCTGCAGGAAGACAGACGGGTAGATTGAGGAAGGATTACCAGTTTTATCCGGGACGGAGAGGCAGGCAGTCAGGCGGAGCTTTTCAGAGTCAGAGATCCAGAGAGGGGGAAGCAGGCAGGCAGAATCAAACGGTTCGGGCAGGCTCGGAGTCAGGGGGCAGATCGGGTCGGAAACAGATAGGCGGTCAGGTTCTTCCTTTGATGCTGGATTATTCGTAGCTGGTTGGCTTGAGATAATCTGGCACAGAGGACAGATCTGATGGGGCTTTTAAAGTGCTGGAAGCAGGTGACTCCAGTCAGAGCTGATTGCAGATGAGTGGAGCAGAGCAGGTGCGTGGACTCAGTGATCAGGCCAGAATCAGTGCAGAAACCATTACAGAACCCCCCCCTCAAGGGCGGATTCCAGGCGCCCTTTTGGGCTGGTCAGGATGGGCCCTGTGGAAATCCCGGATCAAGGTTTTGTCCAGGACGAAGCGGGAAGGGATCTAGGATCGCTCCTCGGGTCCATAACCCTCCCAATCCACCAGATATTGGATGCCCCTGCCCCTCCTCCTGGATCTGAGAATGCGCCTAACTGAATAGGCAGGACCCCCATCGATCAGACGGGGGGGAGGTGGGGGTCTGGCAGCGGGCACAAACCTTGAGTCTCTGACCGGCCTGAAACGGGAGACGTGGAATGTGGGGTGAATTCTCATCGTCTGAGGGAGGCGAAGCCGGACAGCCACTGGATTGACCACCTTGGAGATGGGGAAGGGCCCAATGAATCGGGGTGCCAGTTTCTTGCAATCCACTTTTAAAGGTAGGTCCTTGGTGGAGAGCCAGACCCGGTCTCCAGGTTGGTAACATGGAGCTGGAGACCGCCGGCGATTGGCATTTCGAGCCTGGACCTGGGATGACTTGATGATGGCTCTCCTTGCCCTCCTCCAAGCACGCAGACATCTAAGGGCAGACAGACGGGCTGACGGTACTCTGGACTCCTTCTCCTCGACAGAAAAAACTGGTGGTTGAAAACCGTACACCACATAGAAGGGTGAGAGGCCGGTGGAGCTGGAGGGAGTGGAGTTGATGGCGTGTTCCACCCAGGGTAGGTTCTGCACCCACCTAGTGGGGTCGGACTCACAGAGGAGTCGAAGTTTTGTCTCAACCTCTTGGTTCATCCTCTCTGTTTGACCATCAGTCTGAGGATGGAAACCAGACGACAGATTAACAGTTACCCCTAACAAAGAGCAGAATTCCTGCCAGTAACGGGCCACAAACTGAGGACCTCTGTCGGACACTATGTCAGCCGGCAGTCCATGCAGACGGAAGACCTCCTTAGCCAGGATTGTGCCCATCTCCTTGGCAGTGGGGAGCTTAGGTAGAGGTGGACCATTTTAGAAAATCTGTCAACAATGGTTAAAATGACAGAGTGACCCTCAGAAACTGGTAAACCTGTGACAAAGTCCATGGAAATGCTAGACCATGGCCGAGAAGGAACGGGGAGAGAGCGGAGCAGACCGGACGGAGGTCGCCTGGAGACCTTGGCCTGGTTGCATTGAGGGCAGGCTGCAACAAACTCCTTAACGTCCCGAGTCAAAGTGGGCCACCAAAACTGGGACCTGATGATTCTGACTGACTTAGTGTAACCAGGATGACAATACAGACGAGAGCAATGACAGAAGTTAAGGACTTTATTAATCAGAGAGTCTTTGACATAAAGCCTGTCCCTGGGGCAGGCCTCCGGAATCTGTACTCCCTCGAGAGATTTTTTGACCTCCCCTCCAGGTCGAGCCTCGTGATGGCACACCTAACGGTGTCAGGGAGGATGTACTCCTGAGCCTCCTTGGAAATCTCCTCCCCGGTCTTGAACATCCTGGACAGGGCGTCTGGTTTCCTGTTCTTGGACCCCGGCCTGTAAGATAGGGAGAAGTCAAAACGACCAAAAAACAGGGCCCACCTGGCTTGCCTGGGGTTAAGTCTCTTTGCAGTCCTGAGATACTCCAGATTCTTGTGGTCAGTCCAGACCAGGAAGGGGAGCTTAGATCCCTCTAGCCAGTGTCTCCACTCTTCCAAGGCCAACCTAAGTGCCAAGAGTTCCCGGTTTCCCACATCATAATTGCGCTCAGAGCTAGACAGTTTCCTGGAGAAAAATGCACAGGGGTGAATGCGGCCGTCACCGGCTCTCTGACTGAGGATGGCCCCGACTCCAGAGCTGGAAGCATCCACCTCCACAATAAACTGCTTGTCTGGGTCAGGGGAGACCAAAACCGGAGCTGACGTGAACAGGGATTTGAGCTGCTTAAATGCCCTGTCAGCATGGTAGTTCCAGAGGAACTTAACTTTGCTAGAGGTTAGGGCATGAAGGGGAGCACATACCTGACTAAACCCACGGATGAAACGGCGGTAGAAATTAGCAAACCCCAAAAACCTCTGGAGTTGCTTTCTGTCTGAAGGAACAGGCCACTCAGTGACAGCCCGGACCTTGGCTGGGTCCATATAAATCCGGCCTGGGGATACCATGAAGCCAAGGAAGGACATGGATGTGACATGAAATTCACACTTCTCTGCTTTAACGAACAGCTGGTTTTGGAGAAGGCGGAGTAAGACAGCACGGACATGTTTCCTATGGGCTGAGAGGTTTTCAGAATAGATTAGTACATCATCAATGTAAACAAAAACAAACTGCCCAATCATGTCACGGAGAACCTCATTAACAAGGTTCTGAAAAACTGCTGGGGCGTTTGTTAGGCCAAAAGGCATGACCAGATATCCATAGTGGCCAGAGGGAGTGTTAAAGGCGGTCTTCCACTCGTCACCCTCCCTAATGCGGACCAGATGGTAGGCGTTCCGCAGGTCCAATTTAGTGAAGATCTAGGCCCTCTGGATCTGGTCGAAGGCCGAGTTCATAAGGGGAAGTGGATAACGGTTCTTAACAGACACCTCGTTGAGCCCCCTATAGTCAATGCAAGGTCTGAGGGACCCATCCTTCTTACTCACAAAAAAAAACCCAGCACCAGCAGGGGATGAAGAAGGACGAATTATCCCTGCCCTGAGTGACTCATTTATGTATTTCTGCATTGCCTGGGACTCTGGTATGGACAGAGAGTAGAGTCGACCCCTAGGGGGGGTTGTTCCCGGTAGCAGTTCAATGCTGCAGTCAAATGGACGGTGAGGCGGTAGGGCTGTGGCTCTGGACTTATTAAAAACCTCTTTAAGATCATGGTAGTCTGCAGGGACCCTAGAAAGGTCAGGGTAAACCTCCTCCACCTCATTCTCTGCAATTAAAAGAGGTTGGGCAGACAACAAACAGGACTGAGAACAGGAGGGAGCCCAACCCATGACCTCCACTCTTCTCCAGTCAATCAGGGGAGTGTGTCTCCGGAGCCAGGTGACACCCAGGACAACAGGAACCTGTGGGGAGTCAATGATTATGAAGGTCAAAGTCTCTCTATGGTTACCTCCGACTAGCAGTTCCCCCGGCTCCGTGACGAGGTGAGAGTGGTTCAACCGGTGGCCATCCAGGGCAAGGACACTGTGAGGTGACGAGCCCGGAAGGAGTCCAATGTTCAATCCTCTGGCGAACCCCTCGTCCATGAATTCAGTGTCTGCCCCAGAATCAATAAGGACAGACAGGTTATGTGCTATGGCTGAAACAGTCAAGGTAGCAGGTAGTAAGAGGTCTGGGGAGACAGAGAGTGTAGTGCGGCTCAGGAGGGATCTCCCCCCCCTACTGAGCCTTGGCTTTTACTGGACAGGTGCCAATGTAGTGACCCACTGCTCCACAGTAGAGGCAGAGGTTTAATTGACGCCTGCGTTGGCGCTCCTCACTAAACAGCTTGCTCCTCCCCAATTGCATGGGTTCAGGATCAGCTGCGCTTTGGAGGGGTGAAGCCTCTGCTGGTGCAGAGAACGACCTGGGGAGAAACTGGTTAGCTGCTCGGCGTTCCCTTCGACGTTCCATAAGTCGAAGGTCAATCCGGGTTGCCAGATCCTCCAAGTCCTTTAGTGACCGTGGGAAATCCCGGGTGGCGAGTTCATCCTTTATTTTTTCATTTAGTCCAGTAATAAAAACATCCATCAGGGCATGCTCATTCCAGCCGCTCTCAGCTGCTAAGAGATGAAAGTCAATAATATACTCAGAAACAGACTTATCACCCTGCCTGAGGGTTAGGAGCCCCCTGGTGGACTCACGGCATGGTAGCACGGGGCTAAAAACCCTGATTATCTCCTGGGAGAAATCGTCATATGAGTGGCAGATATCAGAGTCATTTTGCCATTCAGAAGTTCCCCACAATCTTGCCTTACCGGTCAGCAGGGAAATTACATATGCAACCCTGGAGCGGTCAGAGGGGTATGCGGATGGCTGTAACTCGAACTGGATCTCACACTGCGTGAGGAAGGCTCGGCATTGGTCCGGATCGCCCCTAAACAGTTCGGGCGGGGTCAGGCGTGGTTCTGACAGCTGCGGTGAGCGTGATGCGGTGACAGGTGCTGACGCCTGCGGAAGCGAGGCGGCTGGAGGAGCCTGGTCACGGAGATGTGAGAGGATCTCACTGACACCCGCCTCTAACTGAGAAATAGATCTCTCCACGCCAGCACGCCACTGATCGTCCGGTGATGGATCCATGTTGGCCAGATTATTCTGTAAAAAGACAGAGACTGGACCCAAATAAACCCAGACAGGTTAGTGACGTTTAACTTTGAAGATTTATTGAGAGGGTTAATCAGAAAGCGGGGCTGGATCTGTGTGGGCAACTGGCTGCAGGAAGACAGACGGGTAGATTGATGAAGGATTACCAGTTTTATCCGGGACGGAGAGGCAGGCAGTCAGGCGGAGCTTTTCAGAGTCAGAGATCCAGAGAGGGGGAAGCAGGCAGGCAGAATCAAACGGTTCGGGCAGGCTCGGAGTCAGGGGGCAGATCGGGTCGGAAACAGATAGGGGGTCAGGTTCTTCCTTTGATGCTGGATTATTCGTAGCTGGTTGGCTTGAGATAATCTGGCACAGAGGACAGATCTGATGGGGCTTTTAAAGTGCTGGAAGCAGGTGACTCCAGTCAGAGCTGATTGCAGATGAGTGGAGCAGAGCAGGTGCGTGGACTCAGTGATCAGGCCAGAATCAGTCCAGAAACCATTACATTAGAATTGAGTGTGTATTCACAAAACCTGGAACCAAACTCCCATAGTATATATGCATTGGCATGCTGGTGTATAAAGGATTTACAATAGCGACTGCAAACTAAAAAAGAAGTGATGTGACTGTACAGAAACCAAAAGTTGCAGAAGACAACCAAAAGGTGCCCCACCAGGCAGAAGCATCCCAGCCAGAGGCCACGGTGTGGGACCAGAGACAAGTATTATTTCTCTTAATTGTCGATTATTTTGTTCTAATGTAACATTTGTAGACAGATGGAGGATTTTAAACATGTGCGGAGATAGAAGAAACTTCCCCACATGGCAAGCCATTTATGTTTTTAACCATAAAAGGTAAACCCAGCAGTAAAATAACATTGTAGAATGTGTAAACTGCACTTTTTATTTCAGTAAGAAAAACAAAATGTATCATTATAAATCTGATTTCTTTTGAATAAAAAAATAGCACGTTCTTAACAGATGTAGTAGTTTCCAGTTGAGATAAGACAATTTTATATTCCATCTGCTATAATCACTGTACGTGGACAACAAATTCATCTTAAGACCTCCTAGTCATCCGAAAACTAAGATTCCTGAAATGATACCACTAACATGAAAGAAAGAAGGCCATTGATAAAGAGATGGGAGCCAGATGTGCACCAGATGGAAATTCCCCAAGAAGCTTTGACACCATTGTTTGCACTTAATAAATTATTTGTTGATTAATTTTGAATGGTTATATTTCTTTTTTCCATGCTTATACTTTAAATTTCACTCATCTCTGACCAGATCAAACAAAACCTACTTCTTGTTTTTGTCTGGAACACTGTTTTTCACTCCAAAAAGCAAATGCATATCCATATGTGTTTACCTGTGGCTCAGCTGGGAGCCTCGTAGACTCGACATTGTATCTTCAAGATTCTGGCGGAGGTCAAGAACATTCTGCACAGTCCGCTTCCTCTGAGAATCTGGATCTGTGTAAAACAAAACAAAAGAAAAAAAAAGTCTTTTAAAAGGGGATATCTATTTTTTTCCTTTTTAGGTTTTTATTTGTTTTTTAAAAGAGTTTATCCACACAAAGTCTCAAGAATCCTATCTTCATTCTTAAGAGCTGGCTATGTTATGTATGTCTACATTGGAGTGCCAGCTATTTTCCATGGAGGAACTATCAAGTGTATGTTCAAGTCATTAAGCAGAGTACAGGTGCTGGTCATAAAATTAGAATATCATGAAAAAGTAGATTGATTTCAGTAATTCCATTTTTTTGTTTAATTTTGATGATTACAAATGACAACAAATGAAAATCTCAAATTCATCATATCAGAAAATTAGAATATTGTGAAAAGGTTCAAAATTGATGGCCCCTGGTGCCACACTCTAATCAGCTAATTAACTCAAACCACCTGCAAAAGCCTTTAAATGGTCTTTCAGTCTAGTTCTATAGGCTACACAATCATGGGGAAGACTGCTGACTTGACAGTTGTCCAAAAGACGACCATCGACACCTTGCACAAGGAGGGCAAGACACAAAAGGTCATCGCTAAAGAGGCTGGCTGTTCACAGAGCTCAGTGTCCAAGCACATTAATAGAGAGGCGAAGGGAAGGAAAAGATGTGGTCGAAAAAAGTGTACAAGCAAGAGAGATAACTGCACCCTGGAGAGGATTGTGAAACAAAACCCATTCAAAAATGTGGGGGAGATTCACAAAGAGTGGACTGCAGCTGGAGTGAGTGCTTCAAGAACCACCACACACAGACGTATGGAAGACATGGGTTTCTGCTGTCGCATTCCTTGTGTCAAGCCACTCTTGAACCACAGACAGCGTCAGAAGCGAAACAGGACTGGACTGCTGGTGAGTGGTCCAAAGTCATGTTCTCTGATGAAAGTAAATTTTGCATTTCCTTTGGAAATCAAGGTCCCAGAGTCTGGAGGAAAAGAAGAGAGGCACTTCATCCACGTTGCTTGAAGTCCAGTGTAAAGTTTCCACAGTCAGTGATGGTTTGGGGTGCCATGTCATCTGCTGGTGTTGGTCCATTGTGTTTTCTGAGGTCCAGGGTCAACGCAGCCACATACCAGGAAGTTTTAGAGCACTTCATGCTTCCTGCAGCTGACCAACTTTTTGGAGATGCAGATTTCATTTTCCAACAGGACTTGGCACCTGCACACAGTGCCAAAGCTACCAGTACCTGGTTGAAGGACCATGGTATCCCTGTTCTTAATTGGCCAGCAAACTCTCCTGACCTTAACCCCATAGAAAATCTATGGGGTATTGTGAAGAAGAAGATGCAATACACCAGACCCAACAATTCAGAAGAGCTAAAAGCCACTATTAGAGCAACCTGGGCTATCATAACACCTGAGCAGTGCCACAGACTGATCGACTCCATGCCACGCCGCATTGCTGCAGTAATACAGGCCAAAGGAGGCCCAACTAAATACTGAGTGCTGTACATGCTCATACTTTTCATGTTCATACTTTTCAGTTGGCCAACATTTCTATAAATCCTTTGTTTTTATTGGTCTTCAGTAATATTCTAATTTTCTGATATGATGAATTTGAGATTTTCATTTGTTGTCATTTGTAATCATCAAAATTAAACAAAATAAACATCTGAAATATATGAGTTTGTATGTAATGTATGAATATAATATACAAGTTTCACTTTTTAAATGGAATTACTGAAATCAATCTACTTTTTCATGATATTCTAATTTTATGACCAGCACCTGTAATTTTACTTAATGGCCTGTTTCACCATGTCAGGCTACACCCCTCTGAACAGATGTGGTACTTCCTCAAGTTGTCTGTAACTATGTTTGCCCAGCAGGAGGATTTCCACCTCACCCAAGATCCATTTCAGATGTTTTCCTTCTGAAGTGTATTTCTCTTGTCCACTGGGCATTAGCTAATACTCACATGCCTCAAACCTTATAAGTACCACAAAGCTCGACTACAGCCACAGCAAATTTACTCCATGTCAGCTTATTTTCTCCATGCAATATGGATCATAAAGTCACTGGGTTATGGCCATGTCAAATCAATATTACACTAGAATTAGGGGTCTTTCTGTGTTAGCTGTAAAATGTGCTTCTAAAAAAAACACAACAAGGATCTGGGGTTTCCAGAACTGAAGCAAATAACTCAGGGGAAGACAAATGAACATTAACTGCATTAACTGGGTAAGTGGCAGGCATGTCAGGAGACCTCACACATAACAGCAATAAGCTGAAGTTATAGGAGGATGTTTAACTAATTAAGTGAGGGGGCCAAAGAACAAGAATTGTAAAGATCAACTGAGCAAAACAGGGTATCTTGTGTTTTTAAAACATGTTGATTATTTACCTTTTGGTGAGATTGTTAAACATAAAAAGTTAAATCTGCTATTGATTTTAGGGCTTCACATATAACCATAACGCTTGCCCTGTTTTGGACTTAAGAAATGAATGTTGTTGAAAATAATTGTGAAAAACGGTTTTACTTCACAATCTATGACAGCTTTAAAGAATTATACAGTTATTTTACTATTGAAATGAGATTATGCTGCTCCTCCACATTGAGAGGAGCCAGTTGAGGTGGCTGGGACATTTGGTTAGGATGCCTCCTGGATGTCTCCCTGGTGAGGTGTTCCGGGCATGTCCTTCAGGAACATGCTGGAGGGACTATGTTTCTCCCACATCTTGGGAATCCCCGCAGCAGCCGCCCAAGTGGCTGGTTAGAGGGACATCTGGGCCTCCCTACTGAAGCTGCTACCCCCGCGATCCAACCCCAGATAAGCAGAAGATGGATGGATGGATGGATGGATGGATGGATGGATGGACAGACGGACGAACGGACGGACAGACGGACGGACGGACTGACTGACTGACTGCTGGCCTCTGCCATTATAGCCTGTCAGATACCCTTCGGCACTAGTGAAGTGTAATTCTTTGGAATTACACTTCACTAGTGTGAAGTGTAATTGGGAAGGCTATAGTAAAATAATATTGTTCAGTAAATATATAAACAAAAGAAAATGATGGTATACCCAACTGTTAAAAGGGACTAACTGCTATTTAAATTTGTCTGAAAAATGCATAAATGCCCCAGTTGTTTCTCACTACATGGCCATGGGGAAAAAAATTATATACTGTATGTCCCTTAATTCTAGGTTTTTATGATTAAGAAATTATTAAAATGATATGACACCCGCAGAATACTGTTGGCGCTCACATCTGCTAATGATCAGAATAAATGTAATCTGTCAACTTTTAAGAAGGAAAAACGGTCCAAATAATTTGTGTGACCAAACATTTTCAAACTTTTCATATCTTTATCACCTTGAGTCTGCTACTTGAAACCAGTTTATTTATTTTTAGTCCATACATCTAAAGGGGGTTTATTTTACCCCTAACTTTTTAAGGGAAAAGAAAATATGCATTGTGCATCAAATATCACATCTAATGAACTCTTTATCTACAAACACAAATATGCACATTAACTGAATTAAAGCTGCTCCATGAGATTACCATATTACACACTGGCTGTGTCTATTTCCTATTTGTCTATTTCCTCTGAAATAACTTTTTCTCAGTTCACTATACACTTATTCTTTAAGCTAGAACTTGTTTTATGTTTTTTTAAGATGGGACAGATAAGAAACATGACCCACCCTTGTTAAGAGGATGGGTTGTATATTTCCATGAGGAGTGGTAATATATATTTCTTATTACACATTAATTGCATTTTCACTACCCCAGTTCCTTGTTTATAGAATAGAATAGAATACAATACAATATCCTTATTATTATTGTCCCTAAGTTGGAAAATTCAGGACAGCAGAAATTCAGATATTCAATGGCGCATGCACAATGTTTTTGTTTGTTTTTTGGGGTTTTTTAATATGCCACCTGTTACCCAGAAAGCCAAAGCTCACTATTTTTATTAGAACAAAGAGGTATGAACATCCTTTACAATCAGATTGATCCCAGCACTGAAGCAGGATGGGCTGATAAAAGCCACGTGTGAATCACATCTGTTTTGAATACTTCTGCATAAACTATGCACTGCATATCCGTGAATGGCTGGTGGTCCTCTGGCATCCTGCACTGCAGCAATGCCAACAGAGAGGACAAAATTTAACAAAGGCAGCTAGCGCATGTAGCATTGCAAAAATGTCTTACTCAAGAAAGTTATCAACATTTTTTTCTACATTGGGTGCTACTGCTTTATATCTGTAAGTAACAGACCTAAATGATAAACATTTACTACATATGAATAATTCAGACCATGTTCCAACTTCCAATTGATGATGACATAAACTAGCGCAAGTCAGATTTTGCAAGTCAACAAGTGATTATTGGAAAAATATTACTGTACCATGTCAGACAATACAGGTTTTGCACACAGCATGGTTCACTCATATAGTATAATGCATAAAGATGCCTTAATCAGATTTCCTACTTGTTTTAAATTCTGTCTCATTTCTCAGAAAGAAAATGGCTGCTTAAACACATGAAATAAAAACAGACAATTTTGTTGTTTATTACAGTAACAGGGTAGAAAACAAGCAAGACAGGTTTAGTTATTTTATTTGCAAAGCATTCTATGTATTAAAAATGTTAGCACTAAAGGTAAATCCTATAATATGATATTGAAATATTTTATCATTTAAAATATTTTCCTTGTTGTTCAATGGCCAAACAAAACAAAAAAGCTTCAGCGTTATGTTGTGGCTATAACAGGTAGATAACTTAATGACAAAGATGCACAAACAAATTTAATCTACACCCTATTTTTTTTACAAGTAAAAGCCGTTTAAAGAAGCAATTGGACTGCAGCAGTGTAGAAAAACATAAGTGCCACAAATTCAATTATTTGAAAAGAAAATGTATCCATTTGCAAAATAAAAAAAAAATGAAAATATATGTCAATGTGACTTGAGAAGTGAGCATTAAAATCATGAAACAACATTTATCCTAAATATATTATTAATAAT